AGCCGCGCTGGCTGAGTTGGCTGTGTTGGTTAGGACTCTGACTTTGTGTGCTGGCAATAAGCCTTTTCCAGTTTGCCATTTAGAGTTGTCTGTCCTTACTTTGAGGATGTGGGTTCGAATCTCGGATGGGACTCAACCCAACAAACGTACAACAATCTGTACTTTACTGAGAAAATGTAATACTAAATATAACATTTGTTACATCTGACCACTTTCTAAATGGTATTGTGTATTCATTCCGTTCAAAGCGGCGTTAAATCCAGCTACTTCGCTTACTCTTATTTAATCCCTATTCTTTCATTCTTCATTAATACCACAGACTCCGTTATATCAGTTAAAGATACCATAACCAGTGTAACAGGGCCCTTCTCTCTGTGTTTTAATCGAAGGATAGGTGTTCATTTAATTCATGGCCAACTTCATCAAAATCGCTAACATCTGAAGGATTGGTGTAAATCCAGCTGGAGTCCATGCAGGTAGCAAAGGCACTGTAAGTCCCCGTGGTCCCTAGCATGGTGATCTACCATCAGTTGTTGGCGATCTATAGCCTGGTTTTACACATTGTATTGTTACGTGCGTAACTATTCTTTTATGGTAACATGCCAATTTTACGTCTTAATCTGTGATAGCCTTGTTATTTTACTGGCCTTTGTCAACAGATATTTATATTGTCCAATATAATTTTGATAAATATACTCTCCCCAAAAAGAAACGCATCATGAAAATAGCAATTTCATGTAGCAATAAATTAAAACGTGATTCATTTTACAAAAGGTTTTGCTCTGTTTATGAGTCCTATGGTGTTTATGTTTTGAAACATCACAACAAAACGCACCATCCGTAAAATACCCGTATTTAACAGCATGATTTTCAATTTCGGCGTGTAGTGTCACAGAATACACAATTCACATGCAATGCACGTGGAAGTTGGGGATGAGATAGTCTCAATGATGGGTATAATAGGTTGGTCGCTGTCTGTCGATTATTCACTGTATTTGGAATATTGTTGACGACGCAAAGTGCCACGTCTAAGTGAAGCCAACCGTCATATCGCCATTGGTTTGCTTGAAGCTGGCCAGTCTCAACGTGCAGTTGCCCGACATGAATGTTCACCAAAGCACCATTTCACGGCTCTGGGAGAGATATCGCCGGCAGAATTCGGTAGCAGATGCCCCTCGTAGTGGGCGACCTCGAGCGATCACTGCGGCGCAGGATCGCTACATCCGGGTACATCACCTGCGTCATCGAACAGCTACGGCGACCAGTACCGCTCGACAAATACCCGGATTGAGGAGGCTTTCTGCACAGACCGTCAGGAACGGGTCGAGAGAGGCTGGTTTACGTGCCAGAAGACCTTATTTTGGCCCTATGCTTCGACAACAACATCGTCGACATCGAGTTCAATGGTGCACCAACGTTCAGGCCTGGAACTTACCGTAGAATCTGGTTCAGTCTGGTATCTATTGGAACGACGCGATGGAAGAATGCGGGTGTACAGACGTCGACGTGAACGTTTCGCCGACGCTTGCGTTCCCCAGGTGGACAGATTCGGCCGGGGCAGTGTTATGATGTGGGGAGCGATCACCTGCCGTAGGAGAAGTGATTTGATGATGATCCAGGGCAACCTGACAGCTCAACGGTACTGTGACGAAATCCTACGCCCACACCTTCTTCCAATCATTGATCGCCAGAGGGAGTTGTTTCAACAGGACAATGCCAGGCCCCACACAGCACGTCACACTAGAGACTTCCTCCAGAACCACAACATCAATGTGCTCCCCTGGCCCTCAAGATCACCGGACTTAAACCCGATCGAACATCTGTGGAATGCCCTGGACAGACGGGTGCGACGCCGTAACCCTCAGCCCCAGACACTTCAGCAACTCGCACAGGTACTACACGCAGAAGGATGACTCTCGTCGTTTTGATATTCTACTAAACAACCAATACACACAGGCCCTAGAGTTTTCAACACATCTGGTATTCAAGGGACAGGCCCCATCAAAAAATAATCGCACCTTCACCAAACTTGAATTTTTTTGCTGCATGGAAGATGGATTTAATTAGGAGGAGGAAGAGGACGGAGAGGAAATGCCGGAAGCCCTGACACAATCTCTGTCTTCTTAGGTGAGTAATAATAAAATATTACTCAATTCTTCAAATGTTTAAGGATAATGTACTTGACTGTATAGCAGTTAATGTCACAAATGTTCTTTATGCAAATGCAAAGTGGTGTAAGGTTTTATTTGATATTATTTTATCTTAGAATCTCACATTATATACTAGTTTTCTCGGGTGAATCAGAACATAAGTTTATCCTTAATAACCATGTGTCAAGATAACAGATTATCATCCCCATTAGTTGTAATCTATGACCGTTGTAAATATATCATCATTAGTCTTCTATATTTTTACTCTTTCATTTCAGATAGAGAAGACTTCTTGCTGGAATGTGTTTACATCAGTGTAATCTGATAGTAATCAGTCAATGTTCCATTATTAGTCAGTCATTATTCCAATATGATCCGACATTCTAATGTGAATCAATATTTTAATCATTTCTTAATAAACAATTAATTATAAGTATTTGTTTGTTTTGTTTTTTTGCTATGTTCATAGAATAGATAGATACCACCATTACCTAAGACCCTCAATTCACAAATGAAATAAAACGGAGACAATTAATCAAGAGATAAAGATTGTCTATTTTTATCATATACTTCAATTCTAAGAAAACATTATCGTAATCTCTTGATTATTTGCACCTGATTTATTTTTGTGAAACAGTTTCCATCTTCACCTATCAATGTTGATACTACACATGTGTTAACAGACAATCTATGCTCTTCGTCCAATGTAGGCCGGAATGAAGTCTAAGAAAATTAATTTCGGCTATGATTAAAAAAAAACAATATATAATAAGACAGCACAATAATATCTCATAAAATCATATTAACATTCTAACCCATACAGAACAAAGAGCACAGATTGACAACTCATTTCTCAAGGACCATAGTGTCGATTCAACATCAAAGGCACGTGATTCCTATTGGACCAACAAGAAAGGACTTAAATCTGATCAGTCAATCGTGTCAGGATGTATTTTTCTCGAATACATTACAGATTACAATTTTCTCACAACAACTTCAAGCGATATAATCATGGGTTGTATTCATGGAATTGTGACAAACGAACTACTCTGATTACTATGGATTCACATGACAACATCGAATAATGGTAATAAACTTCCACCCAAAAAAGTTGTAGTTATATGCCAGTTAACTTTCATGGAAAACGATCATTCAGGAAAAACCAACAACACACTTACGACTGAGTCATATGTCATGTCACAAGTTTTATTAATTTTCCGCGGACTCCACCAAAAAAGTTCTTTAAGTAACTATCATTAAAATTTTGACACAGTTCACTATTTGTTACGCGGGATGAGTGCAGAGAAAGGGACAGCCAGGTGTTAGAGAAGCACCTTCACAAGTGCCCACCAAGTTATTGATTCATTAGCCTGTGCTGTGCCGTCTCCATCCTTTCTCGCACACCTGGCTGTCCCTTTATCTGCACTCCTCCCTCGTAACAATTAGTGAACTGTGTCAAAATTTTAATGATAGTTTCTTAAAGAACTTTCTCGGTGGAGTCCGGAAATTTTTCAAATATAAGAAAGCTGTTGGGTATTAGTAAATGATAAACGTGTACTATTTATATTTATGTGGCAATTTTGTACAATGATAAAATTTGCAGTTCGTCGGTCCGTTTCTGACTCAAACAGACTGTAATCAAGTCTGGACCAAACAATCCAGTGATCAAAAGCATGAGCATCGATCTACGCAATTGGGATACGATGACATGTGTCAACCTAGTCACCGAGCCAGTTAGTCGCCTCTTACGCAAACATGGCTTGCTGAAGTACATTTCTAACCTTTTCGCCAATGTCTTCGTGTTCATTACCAACACTGTGGCACTCGCGCTGCAATGGCTTTCTCTGGAAACGGATACTTGATGGAAGGACCAACAAGGAACACAGTGCGGGCCAAGGCCAGCTTCCCTTCACTGGCTTCCTGTTAAGTACAGGATTTTCTTCAAGATTCATCTACTGACGCATATCTGCCCCTACGATGACCAGTCCTGTGACTACCTTCGCCAGCTTGTACATCTGCATGTACCCACCAGAGCTTGGAAAATCTAGGCCCAGAGCACTAAGATCAGGACACGCTCAGACTGACACAGCCAAGTACTAAAACCTCAAAGGGTGATACAGCATTTTCTGTAGCAGCACCAGCTCTATGGAACAATCTTCCAGTCACCTTCAGACAAACTGAGTCCCAGTCACTTTTCAAGAACTGAAAACCTACTTCAAGTTGGTTTTTGAAAGGAAACTATTTTTACACTTTATACAGCAGGCCTGGGTCCCGTTCCTCAAAGCGATCTTAGCGCTAAGGTGATCGTAACTCCCATACTTTTACATATTAGACTTATGACAGTCGTAGCGCTACGATCGCTTTGAGGAACCGACCCTGGGCTGCTGTGGAACTGAAGGACCGCATTGGGTATCTCCATCAGCAGTTTGGTCAGACATCATCGTTCACAGATCCACACTAAAGCTCATGACTGGTCTGTGCATCTTCGTACCTGATAGTTCGGTGAGTAAGTATGGTTTTATGCCATATTTAGAAATATTCCAGCAACATCACAGCAAGGGACTGCAGAAACTTGTTTCGGCTTCAAACATTGTACCCATGTGGGGAATTGATCCCAAGATAGCAAACACTTTCACTACGTGACCACCCTGAATTGGTTATGTATAAATTTATTGGAACAGTGACACTTAACAACATGCTTTCAACATACCCAAGTCAAAAACACTTCAGTCTTCATTTTAAGTTTTCTCCCAAGATGAAAGGTTAGTCTCAATTCACCATTTCTCTTTGTACGATATATACATGAAGATCTTTAGCAAAAAACTGAGTTGAGAGGTTGAACAACAAAAGTGATGTCATACTCATTTTATTTCATCAACACTATCTTGCTCCATTAAACTCTTGCATATCACAGTGAAAAGCAAACACACTCACTGAACCTATAAGACTACATGGTATAGTATTTATGGTAATATTCTTGCAAATCTTACACCACTCAGTTTCGAATCATTATTTTCACATTTTGACGGCAAACCAACATTTTGGAAGAATATTAATCAAACTATTCACACAAATCATATTTGAATACCCTTCAGGTAAACATACTGCTTCGATGAAAACATTCTGACAAACAATAAACACACCAAATAGTATCTTACATACTTCAGTGATCTTAACTTGTTTGAGTGGTATTTAGAAGTTGGTGTGATGAACAACAAGGAGAGTTCTATGGATATACAACTTCTTTAATATAATATGAGCGACGTTTCGGTGTAGCTACTAATACTATTATCAAGCAAATGCTTGCAAATGAATCAAGCAAATGCTTGATAACGGTGTTAGTAGCTACACCGAAACGTCACTCATATTATATTAAAGAAGTTGTATATCCATAGAACTCTCCTCGTTGTTCAGTGATCTTGTTGATTGCTCAGGTGGAAGACATAATTATCATTAATACATTGCAGTGAATCTGTATGAGACATAAACATATCCTCAAAATCTTTAAAGCCAATATGCACCAACCAAAAATATAACATATATTTTTCAAATTGGCTTTGAATATAAGCAATGATTCTGGTACAGGAGTAATTCCAAGTAGAATTTAGGAAAACTCCCCAATATAATTATTCAAATATTTGGAATCCAAAACTATAACTCTTATAATTTGGTTTTCATCATTAAAATTTAGTAAAAATATCATTTCATCCTCAAATTACTTTTGCTAATTCAAACTAAAAATCATATCTTTAGCCATCAGATATGAAATTGTTCCTTATGTGAGGTTTTAGAAAAACTTAAAAACACAGATACTTTTCATTCTTTCAGTTGCCAACAATACTGGAAAGTTGGGTTCAATGCTGCAAGTCGACATTGATACAGGTTGTAGACTTTTACCAAGGTGGTGAAATCCACATGGTGTTGACAGATAAAGGATAAAAAAAATCAGGGCTTAGAAAAACACACTAGAAGCTTCTGTCATCTCTGGGGGATGCCACTTTCAAAAGCTCCAGAAAAGCTCTTGTACAATATACAAAAAAAAGATTTACTACAACCAAATTTAATTTGAGTTGCCTGCATACAAATAGGCATGAAAATGTCAAAACCCCAGTAATTGTAAACTACAACATCGCCTAATCAATGGATCAACTTTTCAGCTTGCTCTCCTGTCATTTACATGCTCACTGCTGTATATAATATAAAAACAAAGTGATACACCTCATTTATAGATAATTCAATATGCATCTCGCTGCTTTCAGTTTCTGAACAAGTGATACTCCTAGGACTGCCTCAGAAAGATAATCAGAAGTCAGCTGAAACAAGACTTCAAGAAGAATCAAGTTTAAAATGTGAAATTATAAGACTAAAAATACCCACTAGACGGGACCCAATGCAGTAAACATGTACTGGATACCAAATGTACTGGATACCAAAAAAGAAACCTATCTACACAAAGTTTATGATAACTTATGAGTAAACCCTCAATAGCTGAAACAATTATCAATAATCCGCAACTCGGCATTGGTGCCTCATCATTTGACCACACATGCAACATTGTCAACATACATATCTATGAATCATAAACAATCAACAGTCAACAATTTCAGGAAACAAATAAAATTAACAGTTTCACATGACCAAGGTAGAAAACTAATACTAATAACTATCTTTGACATTATATAATAAACATACATATATTATATATAAAACAACCAAATCTCTGAAGCTCTCAATATTGATCTAAGTGCTTATACAAGCAAGGATAAGACACATTAAAGAAATATCTTTGAATAGGAAAATTTATTATAGGGGTGCATGATTTCTGTTTGCATGTATGGGGGCATAAAACATCATTACACAAGATAGAGGACCAGCAAAATCTGATACAGACCAATATCACTGACACCCTCGCCCCAACACACACTGTTTCTTTTCAAAGTGTCAATAGACAAAATCTGACTCGTTGCTGCATACACGGATGGGTTGGTTCACTGCCGATAACTTGCTAACACAATTAACCAAATACTGTGTTAAATTTTGAATAAATGTAATAAAATAGATTAAAAACACAACTCCAGATATACAGTTAACACATTTTATAATTAGGCAGAGTAATTACAGGGGAAAATTGCTAATTTAGTTTGGGATTTGTTGTCATGGCGTTTGTGGTGTTACGTGTCTGTGGTAATGACTATGAATCATAAAAAATATCAAAATTCAAATTACTTTTTTTTTTAAAGTTTGCAAAATACACAAGAAAATATGGTAATAAACGTATCAGTCCCTTAGCATAGCCTATATTTCCTCAGTATAAGGTGATGTATGTTTTCATGTTTATATGATACAAATCAATTTCCAATGATCACGGAGAAATTATTCCTCTAAACATAAAATTAATTATTAACATCTACTCTTACAATAGCATCTAATATTATAAAGCTTTTGCTTCAAACTTCTATAGCACTGACACCGTCTTTGAACACCAGTAACACAACAAACCAAGCACAAGAATTACACTCCGCTATGCGATCAACACCCTGGTCATCATACAGTCAGTTTTAATAAGTTCCAGGTTGTTTGCTGTTTTTTCTCTGTCGATGACTATGGTCACATTGATGAAGATGCTTCACATTGCCAGGTCTCACAATGTATCAAATCTGTAAAAGATGACACAGTGTCAAGGATAACCATATCGATTGTCTTATCTTCAAAGGCCCCTTTAGGAATTCCAGGTCTGAAATACTAGTGAGTGAGTGAGTGACTACAGTTTTGTACCGCACACAGCAATATTCCAGCTATATGGTGGCGGTCTGTGAATAATGGACTCTGCACCAGACAATCCTGTGATAGTGGTCTATAACCAATACCCTTGTCATACTAGTAATCAGCGTGTAACCAGAATAACGATGTATTTCATCTTGACAAGTATTCTGAAAATTTGAAAATGCAAGGTTGTTCAAAATCACTTACAGTGAGTGAGTGAGTTTAGCTTTACGCCGCACTCAACAATATTCCAGCTATATGGCGGCGGTCAGTAAATAATCGACCCAGCACCAGACAATCCAGTGATCAACAGCATGAGCATCGACCTGAGCAATTGGGAACTGATGACATGTGTCAACCAAGCCAGTGAGCCTGACCACCCGATCCCGTTAGTCGCATCTTACGACAAGCATGAGTTACTGACCTTCACTGGTGCTGAAATAATAGTAATAGCTTGCCTATTTCAAAATAAAGTTGCATTACCAAGTGGACATGTGAAGATCTGGGTTAGAATTGATCTTCAGTAACCCATGCTTGTTGTAAGAGGTGACTAACAGTATCAGGTGGTCAGGCTCGCTGACTTGGTTGACATGTCATCGTATCCCAAGTTCATAGATCGATGCTCATGATGTTGATCACTGGACTGTCTGGTCCAGACTCAATTATACACAGACCACTGCCATATAGCTGGGATATTGCTGAGTGCAGCGTAAAACGAAACTCACTCACTCATTCACTCACTCACTCACTCACTCACTATTACCAAGTGGGTAAGTAGTGAGTAAGTATGGTTTAACGCCACTTTAAGCAATATTCCAGCAATATCACAGCGGGGGGACACCAGAAATGGGCTTCACACATTGTACCCATGGGGGAATCGAACCCAGGTCTTCGGTATGACGAACGAATGCTTTAACCTCTCGGCTACCCCCATCACCCCTATTACCAAGTGAACATAAAACACAAATACATCATACCTCTTCTCTTCCTTCTCTGCAATCTGTTTGATGGACTTGAGGGAAGGTGCTCTGCCCAGAAACTCCAGCACTCGGAGGAAGGCAAAAGCCAGAAACACTGTCAGTTTGTGTTTGACATTCTCAGTGTGGATACGGATGTCGAACACACACCTCTCCCACCATGCCCTAAGCTGCCCACGAACATTTAAACGGCCTGTCAGCTGCCGGGCTGTCCCTGATATGGCGCTGGAAGAATATATTTGGGAGCCATATCAAAATCTGAACATTACAGAAAGAAAGTGCAAAAGAGTAGGGAAGCAATGTTAACAATGTGGACTTCATGCACACAAAAAGTATTCCCCCCCCCCCAAACAAATAGAACTTGTACTTCGTTCAAAAGTGTTGCTCTAATAAAACATTTCGGGTTACATCTGACCACTTTCTGAAAGGAATGGTGTTTTCATAGCATTTGAGCATGGATTTGTTTGTTGGTTTGTTGTTTAATGCCGCCAAGCAACAGTATTTCAGCCAGCGGTCTGTAAATAATCGACTCTGCACCAGACTAGCCAGTGATCAACAGCATGAGATTCGACCTGCGCAATTGGGAACTGATGACATGTGTCAACCAAGCCAGTGAGCCTGACCACCCGATCCCGTTAGTCGCATCTTACGACAAGCATGAGTTACTGACCTTCACGGGTGCAGAATACTAGTAATAGCTTGCCTATTTCAAAATAAAGTTGCATTACCAAGTGGACATGTGAAGATCTGGGTTAGAATTGATCTTCAGTAACCCATGCTTGTTGTAAGAGGTGACTAACAGTATCAGGTGGTCAGGCTCGCTGACTTGGTTGACATGTCATCGTATCCCAAGTTCATAGATCGATGCTCATGATGTTGATCACTGGATTGTCTAGTCCTGACTCAATTATACACAGACCACCGCCATATAGCTGGGATATTGCTGAGTGCAGCGTAAAACGAAACTCACTCACTCATTCACTCACTCACTCACTCACTCACTATTACCAAGTGGGCAAGTAGTGAGTAAGTATGGTTTAACGCCGCTTTTAGCAATATTCCAGCAATATCATGGCGGGGGACACCAGAAATGGGCTTCACACATTGTACCCATGTGGGGAAGCAAACCCTGGTCTTCGGCCTGACAAGCGAACGCTTTAACCACTCAGCTACCCCATCACCCCTCTTACCAAGTGAACATAAAACACAAATACATCATACCTCTTCTCTTCCTTCTCTTCAATCTGTTTGATGGACTTGAGGAAGGTGCTCTGCCCAGAAACTCCAGCACTTTCGAGGAGGAGGCAAAGCCAGAAACACTGTCAGTTTGTGTTTGACATTCTCAGTGTGGATACGGATGTCGAACACACACCTCTCCCACCATGCCCTAAGCTGCCCACGAACATTTAAACGGCCTGTCAGCTGCCGGGCTGTCCCTGATATGGCGCTGGAAGAATATATTTGGGAGCCATATCAAAATCTGAACATTACAGAAAGAAAGTGCAAAAGAGTAGGGAAGCAATGTTAACAATGTGGACTTCATGCACACAAAAAGTATTCCCCCCCCCCCAAACAAATAGAACTTGTACTTCGTTCAAAAAGTGTTGCTCTAATAAAACATTTCGGTTACATCTGACCACTTTCTGAAAGGAATGGTGTTTTCATAGCATTTGAGCATGGATTTGTTTGTTGGTTTGTTGTTTAATGCCGCAAGCAACAGTATTTCAGCCAGCGGTCTGTAAATAATCGAATCTGGACCAGCATGAGCATCGATCTATGCAATTGGGATATGATGATGTGTCAACCAAGTCAGCATGCCTGACCACCCGATCCCATTAGTCGCCTCTTACGACAAGCATGGGTTGCTGAAGACCAATTCTAACACGGATCTTGACAGCATGGAAGCTCTTGCAGCTTACTCGAATCAGAGGGGTACACAAAGTAGGAGACCACCAGTTTTCAGACATCCACTTCCTGGAATCCTTCGTGGCTGAGGTTAGATTGCGGACTCAGCATGCTGGCGAATAGGTGCCTCACTCTGAGAACGTGGGTTTGAATCCGGATGGGACTCAGCCAAACTAAGTACTAGAATTTGTAATAAGAAAGTGTTATCCAAAAGGCAACATTCATCACTTCAGACCACTTTCTAAAACGAATGTGTATTCATGGTTGTATTCTGTTGTGTCTGGAAATTTTCATGCTAAAACAAGGCCAAACAACCAAAGGCATCTGACCTGGGTGAAGCACATAGCATACAAGAGACTCATATTTTCCATATTTGTAAACAATAGCATAGTATAAATGGCATCCATGTCGCCTACCTGCGAGCCATGATGCCATATCTGTCAACTGGGTGGCCATGTTCTCTTGTGATTGCCCTTATGGTGTTAAGATTCCTGGAGAAGAAACATTCAGAAATGAAGCACTATCTACATCTCTAAAGCCAGTATTCCTTTATCATCCTACAGTTATCAAAGACTATACTGAAAACTAAACACATAAAATCACAATGACTTATCCTTTGTTTGGAGAAATATATTATAGAATTCTTTAATGAATGACAGAAAAACTTGGGGTTTTTAACATTCAATCAATGACCATAGTTTTCTTTTTTAGGTTTTGCATGTTAATTTGGCAATACCCATGTCTCACAATACTACAAAGAAAGGTCCTTGAAGGGTTTCAAATTGGAAATTAAGTGTACTGGACTGTTTGGACCATGTTAGTGAGGGATTGATAGCACGAACAACATTCAACAATGTGTGGGTATATATCCTTTACAGGGGTTACAGACTACCCATGATGTATCATACATCTCAAGTACAAAGAAGGACCACAAAGTACGAGATTTAAAAGGCTTTATCAGTAGAGAGGTAAATATACTGCCAACTGTATGTAATGGTGGCAACCCTAAATATGAGTAAAACAGGTGCTGTCATCAGTAGTTTTGAATGGTTTGTGTCAGTATATTAAAAATCAGACGACAAACTTATGTGTTGAGAATGTGATCCTCACTCCTTAAATTGTGAGGAGATCGGGTCCGCTGATCCCCACTATGTCCATCAGATACCAGTGTTCATCTGATCCTCATTGTGTCCATCTGATACCTGTGCCAATCTCATCCCCACTGTTCATCTGATACCACAGTGTTCATCTGATCCCTACTATGTCCGTCTGATCTCCACTTTGTCCATCAGATACCAGTGTTCATGTGATCCCTACTATGTCCGTCTGATCTCCACTTTGTCCATCTGATAACCAGTGTTCATCTGATCCCTACTATGTCCGTCTGATCTCCACTTTGTCCATCTGATAACCAGTGTTCATCTGATCCCTACTATGTCCGTCTGATCTCCACTTTGTCCATCTGATAACCAGTGTTCATCTGATCCCTACTATGTCCGTCTGATCTCCACTTTGTCCATCTGATAACCAGTGTTCATCTGATCCCCACTATGTCCATCTGATCCCTACTATGTCCATCTGATCTCCACTTTGTCCATCTGATAACCAGTGTTCATCTGATCCCTACTATGTCCGTCTGATCTCCACTTTGTTCCATCTGATAACCAGTGTTCATCTGATCCCCACTATGTCCATCTGATACCCACTTTGTCCATCTGATCCCCACTATGTCCGTCTGATCCCCACTTTGTCCATCTGATACCACAGAGTTCATCTGGTCCCCACTATGTCCATCTGATCCCCACTATGTCCATCTGATCCCCACTATGTCCATCTGATCCCCACTTTGTCCATCTGATACCATAGTGTCCATCTGATTCCCACTTTGCCCATCTGATCCCCATTGTGTCCATCTGATCCCCACTTTGTCCATCTGATACCACTATGTCCGTCTGATCCCCATTTGGTCCATCTGATACCACAGTGTCCATCTGATCCCCATTGTGTCCATCTGATCCCGATTGTGACCATCTGATCCCAATTGTGTTCATCTGATCCTCACTTTGTGCATCTGATCCCCACTTTGTCCATCTGATCCCCACTGTGGCAATCTGATCCTCACTTTGTTCATCTGATCACCATTGTAACATTTTTTCCAGATTTGTCCACTGGATTCATATTATGTCCATCTGATTCCCATTTCACTTTCCAATGAGCATGACATACTACCATCTTTATTTACAGACTCATTGCTGCAGATATGACAAGAAAATACCGAAGCTTGAGAAGTGAAAATGATTCTTGATACCCAGAAACAAACCAGACTGACTGACTGACTGAGTTTGGTTTTACGCCGCTTTAAGCAATATTCCAGCAACATCACGGCGGGGGACACCAGAAATGGGCTTAACACATTGTACCCATGTGGAGATTCGAACCCGGGTCTTCGGCGTGACGAGCCAACGCTTTAACCACTAGGCTACCCCACCGCCCCAGAAACAAACCAGAAGCATGAGGATCAAGAACTACTCTCCCTGATCAAAAGGTCTTGAAAATTCATTCAATCTCGTCAAGATACAAAAGAAGTAAACATAACTATCAAAAGGCATCTCCTAATCATTACAACACTGCTTGCTTAATCGCTGACACACACAAATTGGGATAAACAATAGGAAATCAGCAAAATCACTCTGCACGATAATGCAACACAACCTCTACCCACTATAACAGCCAATGAGAAACAGTAATCAGCTAGCAGGCAGGGCTTACTTTTTATGGAAACGAGCCCTAAAATGTTTGCTTGTTCATCCAATCAAATGCCATTGATATATTCCTGCAAAGTGAACAGCCCTCTTACTCTGTTGGAAATACATCCTGATAATAACAACAAATTTCAACAAAGCAACCACTTCTTTGAGTGGCATTTAGAAACTGGTATGATGAACAGGAACGATTTTCTTAAAGATAGACAACTTCTTTTTTGCAATGGATGCGACGTTTCAGTGTAGATGCTAACATCATTATCAGAAACATACATGAAGGATATTAGATTTCATACAATTAACGAGCTTGATGTACAGTGTGATGAATTACTAATAGTTGTTGTGATAATAGATAACGGTATGAAGCCAGATGGACAAAGTGAAGGGCTGCTTAATCTTGATTAGTGTGTAGGGATGTAATAACCTTAATCTCTGTTGACCGTTGGGTTGAGTTATTTGATATTCATTCTCCGTGACTTTGACGTGTCATCATATCCAAATTGCACAGATCGAAGCTCATGCTGTTGATCACTGGATGATCACTCAATTATTTACAGACAGCTGCCATACAGCTGAAATATTGCTGTGCGGTGTTAAACAACAAACCAACCTACCAAACTTGTTCATAATGTTGTGTATGACTTGCTTGATAACAGGGGTGGAAATAACCCATTGCCCGAAGTCCGATCCAGTGTTTTTTCCTGTCGGGCAAGCAAATTTGTATATCACACTGTACCGGTGTCCAGTTGACTTTCCAATGTTAAATATGTTGTTTATTTAAAAAATCAACAAGAAAACGGACGGTACAGTGGAAAAATTATCAGGGCAAGTGATTTTACATGTGCCACTGTGCCAGAGTACACTAGCAATCTTAAAGTTATTTCCACCCCTGGATAACGGTGTTAGCATCTACACCAAAACATCACATCCATTGTAATAAAGAAGTCTATCGATAAAACAATTGCTCCTGAAGCAACCACTTGTTCACCCACCTTATGACTAACAACAGACTTCGTGGCATACTTTTCAGCACAGCCATAATTTTGTCAAAGTGTTGGCCTGCCATCACTCGCATATGTTCCAAGTCTCTTTCTGTCATTCGACTCGGCAAGTAAAGCGTCTTGCGTGCTATCGGGCGTTGTACCAGAATCTCACAGAAGACACCATGGTCTAAGGAAACAAACGTCACCAAGGGATAAGAGAGATGGTAGCATCATCATTAGCCTCCGCTTCCCAAGGATGAAGAACAAGCCTTTCCACCTACATTTTCTACTTACGTTTTAAAGTTTGACAAGTCTTTCCAAAGTGGCCATAATTCAAGAGATAGCAGAGTTGGCTTCATAATGCAAGTAATAACAGGTCAGACTTTGTTTGCAAAGCTTAGCGATGTTTTAGAACAGGTTTCAACTAGGTTAAGCTGTCAAATGGTTGGAAATTTCCATCACTTGTATGTGGTTAATATGGCTTCTGTTAGAACATTAGGGTTAGAAAAAACGCAAATCTCTGCTATAAACCCTTGGGACTAACATATAACTGTAACACTAGAATCTAGCTAACACAGTACTGTCACTTAAAACCAAATACCAAAAGCGAATCTTGTCCACAATCACAAATGCATTCCAAAACAATCACTGTTTCTGCTGTTTCGCCAGTCAATGATGTTCTGGCAAGCATGCAATACTGAATCTTCATGTGAAGAGTGAGTGAGTGAGTGAGTGAGTGAGTTTAGATTTACACTTCTTTTATCAATATTCAAGCAATATCACAGCAGGGAACACCAGAAATGGGCACATTGTACCCATGTCGGGAAACGAACCCAGGACACCGCCCCCATCATTTGAAGAATTTCATGTCCTTAAGTAAGAAAATATCATTTGCAAGGTTGTGTAATTAAGATATTTCTGTTTGGAATCAAACTCCTATACTCTGATATATACATTAATAGTTGTGTTAAAACATTAATGTATTAGCTGTTCACATACCAGCAAAGTTCAGTAAGTATTGCATATTTCTGAATTTATATAAAATGAACCACCTAGCCCTACTATGTCTTTCAGCTTCATTTGAAACAAATTTTACCAATAAATCTTGTTAATATTCAGCATGTTTACAAGCTAAGATTACTACTTTAGGTAAAATAACTTCCCACATAAATCAAACTTGACTGAGGCAAGTTACGCTTAGTGCAAAACACAATTTAGACAGGAATATTGTTTGTAACTGGTTTCTATGCGTTTGTTAAACAACAAACTGACAAGAAATGTCATTTGCACATGTCCATTTAGATATTCTGAGACACTCATCTCACAACCTACATCAGAACAAACGTTTATTCCAATGAAAGCTACATTAGCAAAACTGTTCTTGCCAAGCCGTCCTTACAACATGTTCAGGAATCAAGTTTGCATTCAAAGAATACAAAGTAATCTTAAACAAATCTGTTATTTCAAAAGTACCATAGCAAAAAGAACGCACGAGCAGTGTTTCCTTTCTCCAGCCACCTTATGTTCTCCAGTAAAATATAGTTTGGACTTAAAAATCCAACACTATCTGTCTATATGTCCTTTAAAAATATGGCATTTCTTTTAAATATTCCCCTCTAAAAATCTGTCAAATGGATTATTGTCTAGATTGTTTTGCTTTCATTAGGTCAGTTTCACCGATCACTATTACCTTTATAAGTATCGAACGCAAAACTCAACGTGACTACAACATGGCACAAAGCACTAGGCCGATTCCGACGAGATGCCAACCCTGAATCAAATGAAAGCAGAGTCATGCCTTGCTAAAAGCAATTCCCGAGCCCTGACGGTGCGAGAGTTGGGGGTGAGCATGAGAGGGGCCCCTTGTGATGGTTTGGGATCTGGGGCGCCTCCCCTATGAAAAATCTTTAGATGTAGCCTGGAAATATGAAATTTCTGGGCATACTTAACCAGATAATACTTAACTCAAATGAACATATCTAAATGGCTATTTACTAAAATTCTTCCAAATATTCTAAATTTATAAACATATTTGTATTTTCTAAAAATATCAGAGTTTTTTATAGACAAATCGGAGAGTGGATTTTGTATTTGTAAATCGGAGTAACTCCTCCAAAATCGGAGTGGTTGGGATCTCTGCATAGGTGACACACTTCAAGGGCATAGGGGACATGATTCAAGGGCATAGGTGACACACTTCAAGGGCATAGGTGACACACTTCAAGGGCATAGGTGACACACTTCAAGGGCATAGGGGACACACTTCAAGGGCATAGGGGACATGATTCAATCAAGTCTGGCAGAAGTAAACCAACCAGAATCACTGACCTAGAGAAGCAAACGGGTGCAGCTTTCTATTTTACAACTACATTCGCCGAACTTTAGCAAGCACTACATCATAACACTACAACAAGGAAAGTGTTATCATGACTATCCTGCAAACACAAACCTATGTCCCCCAACAGCTGCCATTAGATACATGCAGACTAGCAACACACTGTTCTACAGTACATGATGGCTACCATTGCAACCTCATGAATCTCAACCTGCATCTTAACACAACCATAGCGTGCTAACAAAGCAGATAATATCACAACATTCAGAGTTGAGAGAGTGCACATGTGGAACTGTTCAGCAAAATCTGAGAGACATGACACAGTGGAAAGAGAGAAATAGTCATGACGAACATATAGTGACACCAACCATTGAGGATAGAGTAAAGCCACTCAACAACTAACATGGAGATTTCCTACCTAAATATCAAAAGAAGACCTTTAGGCATATCTTTCATGACCTGCAAAACACGATCATGAATGACTACGAATTCCTTCTTGAGCTGATCTTGTAACTCTTTGGACATGTTTCTCCACTCTTGACGCTAGAAGGGTTTGGTGCGGAGCAAAGGCTTGTTCTTCACTCTAACTGGCCGCTGTACGAGCATTATGGAAAATATGTGGAAATCTGAGGAGTAGCAAGGCATTGTAATATTAATGTCAACTTTCAACAGATACTTTGACCCAGCACATTTTTATCCTTAAAGTAGCAACTTTTCAAATGATTGCTTGAGTGTTGTCCCACTCAGCAATATTCCAGCTACAGTAGAACACAGATATAACAAACTCCAAGGGACCAAGAAATTTAGTTCGCTATATCCGTTGTTCGTTATTCACATTTGACCGCCATCTTGGATTGTAGAGATGTAGACATTCACAGACATTACCTATATCATGTTGATAAATATGAAGTTTATTTTTATAATAAAATTGAAATAATACAACTACAACTTAAATAAATTTATTTTTTAATGAAAATGCAAGCTTACATTTATAATGTCCAGATAAACCACGAAAGAAGCAAAAACTGTAGAGATTTCTTTTCCATTTGTGACATGTCATAACATGCCTGTGCCTTTTTCTTTTATATTTTCATTTTTATGTAATCAGGCTTTCCGTTCGTTAACATGACACAACAACGGGAAATACCTCCGTTTTCGAAGCTTCGTATGAATAACATGCGAGGCGAATCGTGTGGTGTCTGGTATCGTTCGACAGCTCTGGAACATCAACAATATCACTGTACCCTCGCCGAGAGTATTTTTACAGTTGTCAAAAGCGATTTTATTGGATAAAGATTGGTTTCTAATGACGCTTTTTCGCCACAGTCTGCTATAAGGATCGTGATTGGTCAAAATCAGACACGTGACCTAAGGCAGCCAATCAAACTACGGCAATGGATACCGTCCTCGTCAACGAAAATCGGTTGTTGAATGGGTTAAACACGATATGTTTGTTTTGTTAATTAATTAATGACCATCAATCAATGTTGATTCACCGTACTGTACCGCTAAGTGGCTGAGCTGACACTGAGTGAGTTCGCTAATCACGTCGTTAATTGGGTCTTGGGGGTAGTAAATCAGTTCGCTATAGCCGTTAATTCGCTACTCACGAGTTCGTTATTCACGTATAATTTTAATGATATTATAAAGGACTGTTGACGGGACTTTTAAATTTGTTCGCTATATCCGTGTTCGCTATAACCATGTTCTACTGTATATGGTGGCGGTCAGTAAATAATCGAGTCTGGACCAGATAATCCAGTGATCAACAGCAAGAACATTGATATAAGCAATTGGGCTACGATGACGTGTCAGCCTTGTTCCCATTAGTCGCCTCTTCTGACAAGTATAGTTTACTATTAATACTAAAGACCAATTCTAACCCAGATCTTCATGGGTACTCTTCAAATGACTATCTACATGCATCAGTAAAATCTATGGCTTATTCATTAGTGAGTGAGTGAATATTGTTTTATGCCCCTTTTAGCAATATTCCAGAAATATCTTGATGAGTGAACGCTTAACCACTAGGCTACCAAGAACTTGTTCATTAATGTACATAAATAACAACCGATTAAAATAAATAACTGATAAGCGTGCCATAGTAATTTCAACAGCATCCCAAATTAAGTAAATGAGTGAGTTGGGTTCAACACCTTAAACATTACTCCAGTTATATCAGAGGATCTCGGCTTAATATGATTGAAAACCAATTGAGCCGGATTTCACAATGTACTTTTTAAAAAGAACATGAATATCCATTACAATTACGACAAGACTGGTCAAAGTGTACTTTCTCGTCACCTTCAACACCTAGATTCTTGGAGTATGTTTCCATGTCTTGTTCATTCTTCATCACAATGGCTTTATACAGATAACAGAGGGCCTCCCTGTGAGGAGGTGTCAGGGAGTCGTAGAGACCATGATCTAATAGCACCAACTCAGCACCGCCGTGTTTCGACCGCCGTACAAACACGTTACCAGGGTGGGGGTCAGCATGGACAAACCCAGACAGGAAAATCTGGTCCGAGAAACATTTGACCAGCTTGGTATCTACCTGAAAAGCAACACATACGATAAGTAGTGACGGTAATAAAATGAACTTGGGACAATCTTAGTTACACAGCCATTCGCCAGGTAGTATGGGATGAGCCCTAAGACAAATTAAATTAAGGAAACCTTTGATTCACCAAATATGAATCATAACAGCACTAATATTTCTTTTCAGTTTGTAGTGAGCCCTAAAAGAATAAATTAAATTCAGGAAACTTTTCAGGAATGGTTTGATTCACCAAATATGTGAGGATTTAATCATAACAGCACTAATAAAGTGGCGCATGTCTAATTTCAGTAAGTTCAGGAAGGGAGGATGTGTTTCACAAGTAGGAGTCTAACAATATATCGAACTATATTGATGTAAACTTTAAATTGTTTACAATTAACAATTTTGTCTATTATACTATTACCACTGGAATTAAAACATAAATGCTGATGGAATTACCACTGGAATTACTGATGATATACATAATAACAAGATTCAATGGTTGCAATTAGTTATAAGTAAAACACAAATTGTGCACAGTAAGGTCTACAGCCAGAATCCAAACTTGATGTGTGGTGACAAGCATGGAATTTGACAACTTCATATTAGAGTTACTTCCCTTTGCTTGAGTGGCGACAGGGAGGAAAATGCCTGACTTTGACATTGTCAGCAATACTTTTCACTTCTATTACATTAATATAATTATCTAGCCATATAGTTGTTTTACAGGCGCAATTGGTACCAGTGTCCAAAGTATTCAGACAGACATTTCTTACTGCCCTATTAAAAAAACAGACATAACTGACAAAATCCAAACACTTTTATTGTGGTGGATATTTGTATAGTCTATTGTTTCCATGTCATTTTCAGTTGTTTCATGAATATCTAAGGAGGTGACCTGACGTCTTGATGCAGACAGTTATATCGTATTAAACACAAGATAGTTTTCAATAGTCTGCTTACATCTTTCAATGATAGACCCATGTTCTTGATTTCAGCGATGTTGCTGATCTTGCATCCGTCGATGTATTCAGCTGTGAGGACTCTCTAGCAAAGAAAAACAAATACATGTCAATGAATACATGATGTAGTCTACTGTAACTGAAAAACCTGTGAAACTAAACACTAACAAGTGTTTGCCACTGATATGGCAATGTCCCCCACCGCTAAAGAATGGAATATCTATATTTACTACTTTTTATTTTTTGGTCACATACAAGATGCCTGAAATGACTGGTGTCTGCATAATCACCCAATGTAGGCTGTCAACATAACTGAAACATTGGGTGCAATGTTTTATGAGATATCGGGTTTAAATAAGTTTGAAAAGCAGTCAAAGTGTCATGGTGACCTTGAAGATAAGGTCAAGGTCATCCAAATCGACTGGTGTCTGCGTAATCCCCCCAATGTAGGCTGTCACCAAATTTGAAGACATTGGGTACAACAGTTCATGAGATATCTTGTTAACAAGAGTTTGAAAAGTGGTCAAAGTGATGTGGTGACCTTGAAAATAAGGTCAAGGTCACCCAAATCGACTGGTGTCTGCGTAATCCCCCCAATGTAGGTTGTCACCAAATTTGAAGACATTGGGTGAAACAAGGAAAACCAAGTTCTATAGATAGTCAACTTCTTTATTGCAATGAGTGCAACGTTTCGGTGTAGGTACTAACACCATTATCAAGCAAGTGATACAAAGAGTTTGACATGGAAAATATATACATAGCTGCATAGTGTGTATATATAATTGACAAGGTTGATATACATTGGATTGCTAATTAGTGATTTGAGCAGAGTAGGTTGATGTACAGAGTGATGGTGATTAAAACAATATGCAGAATGAGTTTATACAATAGATGAGTTGATGTACACTGAGATGGTAATCGTGAGTTAAAGAGAGTAGGTTGATGTACACATTGATTGGATGTGATTACAATACACAAAAGGGAGCATAGAAGCCAACTGGACGAGGTATGGGTGGATTACTGGTGATCTTTACTTACTGACTGACTGAGTTTAGTTTTACCGCTTTTAGCAATATTCCAGCAATATCACGTAGGGGACACCAGAAATGGGCCCATTGTGCACATGCGAATCGAACCCGATCTTCGGCGCGACGAGCCAACGCTTTAACCACTAGGCTACCCCACCACCCCTGATCTTTACTTAGATGGTGATAGGCTGAGGAAATAAACGAAACGTCACACTCATTGCAATAAAGAAGTTGACTATCCATATAACTTGGGTTTCCTTCATCTATACAACTTCTAAAATGCCTCTCAAAGAAATTGGGTACAACAGTTCATGAGATATCGCGCTAACAAGAGTTTGAAAAGTGGTCAAAGTGTCATGGTGACCTTGAAAATAGGGTCAAGGTGACCCAATTCGACTGGTGCCTGCGCAATTCCCCAATGTAGGCTGTCACCAAATTTGAAGAGTAGGCTGTCACCAAATTTGAAGCATTGGGTACAACAGTTCATAACAGTTCATGAGATATTGCGTTAACAAGAATCGGGACCTACGCATCGGACAGATGGACGCCGCTGAATACATAGTCCCTCATTCCGCCTTGGCGGGGACAAAAATCTTTCTCTCTTAACCTAAACATTTTTTTTCAGTGATGATAAGTACAATAAACACAATCAGATTTGAGTCTTAGCTCACAAAATTACTTCAAATATTCTAAAAATCAGAGTACAGAGGTACAGAAGTTGAGAACCACACCTCTATTCAGTGTTATAAAGCTACAGTGGTGAAGATGTGCTAAACAACCAAATTTGTCAACAACCATATCAGCCAACACTTACATATAAGCTCAGTTTTCATTCACATGTCATTACTGTTGTGTTATATTTTTGTGAAATCATATGCTTCAGAAAAACATGCCGACACAGTCCACCTACCTTACTTGTTTTATCCCAGTGTACCTTGGGGACGTAGACATACTTAAGATGTTGTAAATCCTTCTGGCACCTCTCACCATTACCACCCTCGTTCACAAAGTCCAGCTCCTGAGCTAACGTTACCTTCAGATCCTAAAAACATATATAAATATGCATATACTTTAGGGTTGGGTATTGCCAAACTTTTCATATTGCAATATATTGTGATATGTGTTGGCGTATTGCAATATGTATTGAATTATATTGTGAAAGTGTAACACATGGTTCAGGGTAATGAAATTACTGTTCCTTTCTTTTGAAACAATTCCAATGGCCACTTTCAGGACTCAGATGTGATTGTACAAGAGACCAATTGAAGATGTTTCTAAACAGAAGATTTCGCTCTGAAGCTTGGAACTCGAGAAAAAGTGTCTTTTTTTTCAGTCATGCAAATACAGTTATATGACCAATAAACATTCTCAAAATTATTAATGCATAATAATAGAAAGAAAATACAAATGTTATTGGGTTTTTTTACTACATCACGAAAGTTACCGATCATGGTCACGGAAACTGCCGATCGGGTAAACCAGTTCGCAAAAAGTGTACCGCAATATATCGTATTGTGAAGTTCGAATTGCCATATACCGGTAAACCGATATTATCGCCCACCCCAATATACTTACGATGAAATAGCCACGTGGCACAAGGTCAAGTCAGTTGTCAAGAGTAGGTTAAAGGCGGACTCACATGGGTCGGCCTGTCGAATCGATATGCCGAATCCGACCAAGCCGTATCATCTGAGTGATTAATCAAATTCAACGATTGGTAAAAATCGCCTACTCAAACTTGCATCACGAATGTGTAGAGCCTCAACAATGGATAGAGTTCTATGACTATATTATAAATAATGTTGTTTATCCATAGAACTCTCTCTGATGTTCATCACACCAACTTCTAAATGCCACTCAAACAAGTTGTGTAGAGCCTGTTCTAGTTATTTGGCAAGTTGGGTGTGGTGCGGCCAATCAAATTACGTTTTGTTCTCACGTGGGAAATGTTTATATACAAGCCCAAAACATGCATTTGTCTGCTTCAAAGGAACCACACCTCAATTTTTCACGGTAGGAAACAGAGTGTTTCATGGCTCATTATATGAGTCACAAAACACTATGGAATATCACGAGCAGGGATTATTCCAAAAGAGAAAAGAGGAATGCTGCGGTGATGGCGATAAGCTTGGCATTTCCAGAAAAGTCACTGCCGTCTTCTTCACAGTAACGTGCAACAGATAACTGCTGCTAAGTCTGCTTCAGACAATTTTGATAACATGGAAACAAAATAGCGCGAGATATTATAGGCTCGACACTAATATCGGCAGATTGAAATGTGCGAGAAGTAGCAAATCGATCAGTCGATATTCGTTACAACCACCGAACATCTTGTTCATAGTATGGAAATTGGCAGTTTGATACGATGCGTGCCAACCCGAGTGAGTCTCGCTTAACGAGCAACCACATCCTACAGCTTGACTCAAGTGAATTTCTGGGGTCCAAGCATACTAACATATTGGTAAAACTGGCATCTCCTTTAAGCAGCTTTTCTCTGAAAATGATTCTCATCATCATATCATTATTAGTTAAATAGCCTTTAAAAGTATTTGTTCTGTAAAGAATCTTCTAGCTAGTCACCTTTATGACCCAGGCAAAGGCAAACTTGGGGTGAATCCAGCCAACTAGACGCAGCAGGATCTCACAAGTTCGGATATCTCCACTGAAGCGATCACGCAGGTCAATGTACTGTACCTGGAAAAACACAAGCCATCTAATAGTGTTGGTAACCAATACTAGTCATACTGACTACAATTTCAAGTTCTTGGCTCTCTTTCAAATATCTAACCGCTCTCTTCCAAATAGGAAGGTCTATTTCCCCGAACATCCAAAAGAGAAAATATGGTACTTGTTGGTCATTGGCTTCGGCATTAATGGGTACAACAAGGACTTTAGAGTCAGTATAATGTGTCTGGGTGGGGTATTCATGCTTCACTGCGCATTGTTTCTCAGTGGGCTAGCACTATAAAACCAGCTTCAGTCTGGGCTGTAACAACACATACACATTGCAGCTGACCTCAAGCTAACGACAATAAACCCAATTTCACCTCACCTCACCTTTCAAATATCTATTTCAACATCAGTGAGAAATACAGTGCATTATTAGGATTTAGATTGGTTTGGTTGGTTGGTTCGTTGTTTAACGTCATTCAGCAATATTCCAACTATATGGAGGCGGTCTGGAAGTAATTGAGTCTTGTAACAACAGCGATTGCAGATGACCACGCCCCCTTCATTAATTGCAACTGTTGTCTGTAGGAAGCAATGCACGAGGGTCGCATGCATGCTCAACTGTTGTCTGTGGACGAGGGTCGCATGCATGCTCCAAGACCGCAGATATTACAAGTGTGAACCAGACAATCCAGTGATCAACAACATTAACATCAATCTATGAAATTGGGATACAATGACATGTGTCAACCAAGTCAACGAGCCTGACCACCTGATCCCGTTAGTCGCCTTTACGACAAGCATGGGTTGCTGAAGATCAATTCTAACTGAGATCTTCACGGGTCTATACATGGTTAGCAATGGTAAGTACTCCTATGTGTGATGTACCTTCACTGCTACCCTCTCTCCTTCATGGGTGACCGCTCGGTGGACTTGAGCAAGACTGGCAGCAGCGATTGGTTCCTCCTCAAACTCAGAGAACATTTCCTTAGGAGTCTTTCCAAAATCTTCTATAAACAGTTGTTCAACCTGAAGTCATGATACACCGACTGTGTTGATAAACGTGATATAGCAAAACTATGGTCAAAAATAATAAAATGACCAAGACTTTTCTGCATGAGTGAGATTAGTTTAACACCTCTTGTAGTAATATCACAGTGTAGAAAGCCTGAAGTGATGTTAGTCATACAGATCCAGATGTTTAACATGTTTGTAAGCTGATAGATGAGGTTGGATTGTTGTTTCTTGTTCAAAGCCGCACTCAGCAATATTCCAGCTATATGGCAGTGGCCTGTAAATAAAGAGTGTGGACTAGACAATCCAGCGATCACCATCATAAGCATCAATCTGCGCAAATGAGATATGACATGTTCCAACCAAGTCCGCGAGTCTGACCACCCGATCCCACTTGAATCTTGCGACAAGCATGGTTGGCAAGAGACATATTCTAACCCGGATCTTGATGGGTAAATAGATGAGGTAGCTCAATAGGCAATGATACACAGAAATATCCCCATTTGGCATTTGAATCCACTCTGCACACCATCTCAGTGGCTTTGACAACCAATGACCCATCATTAGCATGAACTTAAGCAATTAAATCATTCTAACTGCATACAAATGTTAGTCAGTTTCTGGGTGGTGGGGTAGTAAAGTGGGTAATGGATTTGCTCAACTTACCTCATGTGGTCCCCGTGCCAGCGCCTTATCCTGCAGAGCAACCAACACATCGACATACTCTCGAGGTAGGATGTGGTTCAGAGACACAAGACCCTGTCCAAGTTTTATATACAGCCCTCCGTTTTGTAAGCAGCCGAGCAACATCCTCTCAGCAGCCCGTCGATGACATCCTTTGATCGCTCCATTATACTCCTCCCCATCCTCATCCAGGTTCCATAGTGACCATTTGTAGTCCAGAGAGATCAAAGTACCAATCACTAAAGACCTAAAATTACACAATCATACTGATAAATATTTGCTGTTAAACCGCATCAAGCATTATCATGGTCACTAGAGGTGATATGATACAATGACAATAGGTACAGCTTGACCATATTCATGGGGAATCCAGGTTAGAATTGTTCTAAATCAACCTATCCATGTTGTAAAACGTGACTAAATGAATGAGTGGGGTTAGGTTTAGCAATATTCCAGCAAAATCAAGACAGGGGACACCAGAAATGGGCTTCACACATTGTAACCAAGTGGGGACTCAAACCCGGGTCTTCAGGGTGACAAGCGAACACTTTAACCACTAGGCTACCCAACCACCACCCCAACTGAATGAATGAGAAGGTCAGACTTGGTGATACGGTACAGAGCATATTGATGCATCCCAATGGTGTCACTTGCATTTCACATTAACTCAAGTGTGTTACTTCCAGGCTGGATAGTAATAATTGTCCACTTATATGGCTCTCATATCTAGACACATTGCCTGCTCAAGGTGCTACGTACATTACTATCCCCGGTCGTAGGACACTAACATACCTTCCGATACTTTTTCAACTCCCTGGGGATCATACTGCCTGTTAGACGCAATGAACTAAACATTCACATTGCCAGCACATCCTCACAGGTACCCATATTACAGCTGGGTGAACTGAAACAATGTGAATCTAAGTATCTTGTCCAAGGATACTATGCAAAATGGATCATCTATACGACCACCATTATATTAATGAGGAATACTGCTGAGAGAGGTACTCCATGAAATACAAATACAATCCAAAAGAAAATATTACAAATGTAGAACCTAAACATTACGATTTTGATTGAGTGATAAAAGGTCACCTGACACATAACCATATTTGAGGCATTGTCAGATCTTTATAAAAGGAGGCATCATAACAGAGCATACAATCCGATTTAAACAAGATAGATCGCATCTACTCAAGTAATTCAGTTTTAAGTCAAGTAAATTTGGAAAATCTTGTTGAATGTTCTCTCGAATGATCATTGAGCATGGAAAGATTATACTGACGTAAGACAAACAAAATACAATGCAACTTAACTCCAGAATCGCCTAAATCCACCAATTGTGACCCGTATTTTCCTCCGCTCTTTCTCTTCCAAATATGCATAATAAGTTCCACTCACTCCTGAACTGATTCCAAGAGTCAATAAAAAACGCTTTGGCCATTTACGTACTTTCGCAGAAGGGTTAGAAACATTGCTTTTATGACGGAATGGTTTCAAAGATTGCCATAGTGATGCCCTAGGATGTTTCCTGCACAGGCATCTGTTGATCACTACACTTGGTTGTGAATGCAACTGGCTGTGAAAACGATGCCCTAGTTTTATGGGAATAAGCCATCTTGAACATATTGAGGTTGATCTTGGGCTTGCTTCTACACATGTCGGTACTGATGGCAGAATGACACGGATGTTGTAAGCTAAGTTAGTCCTGGACAACATGGTGTTCTTTGTTTCTTCTTAGTTTGCATTGTAGGCCATCAATCTGAAACAATTATACAAAGCAATTGTAACAGTGTCATAGTTGACAGTGGAATATTAAACGTGTACAAATAACTTGTTTCCCTTATGAGAATTTAAGTTTGTAAGAAGTTTAATATTATGGTGGGCCCACTGTACAATATGCTAGCTGATAATATGGATGCAATACAATTTATATGCACAAACAGTACTTTTATTTTATCAGTTCATATACTTTCCCATTATGCATTTAACTCACAAACCATAAGTCAGTAATTTAATTGAGCAAGATATAAATCTAGGGCAAAAACATAATGGCTGTGAACGTCTTGCTAATAAAAGCCAACCAATGAATACTAGAAAATTCTCATAATCATTTTCTTAAGAGATTTCTGTTATTAATCATTTGTTTTTACAGCATTTGTTTTTTACATCATTAAACCGATATAATTTATCACATAAATGTGAAAAGAAGACATAATATCATCACATCTTTGTTTAACATTGTTTCATAAACTAATGAACCAACAGGAATATTATGAGTCATGGTCATTGCAAAGGGAGTGTATCAACGTGCAGCTGTACTCTGCAATGTCTACCCTGCTCCTCGGGTTAGAACTGGTCTTCAACAACTTGCCATAACAGGCGACTAATGGGATTGGGTGGTCAGGTTCGCTGACTTGGTTGACACACGTCATTGTATCCCAATTGTGTAGATCAATGCTCGTGCTGTTGATCACTGGATTGTCTGGTCCAGGCTTGATTATTTACAGACTGCCACCATATAGCTGGAATATTGCTAAGTGTGGCGTTTAACAACAAACCAACAACCACTCTGCTCCTAGATGGATAATCTATTTCCCTAGACACAACCATGGTGTGACCTTCACCTACTGCTTGTAAGGAGAACCCCCAAATACTAATTTCAAGAGTCCTTACAGGAAAATTGCGGATCCTGTAAAGAAAAAGATGAAGTTTGCAATTCTCTAACATTTAATTATTCCTTCACTTACAGGAACTTTACACTTCTTTGCAAGAATTTGATATAATACATGTATTTTGTTTATCCCTCCTGACACAACATACATTCTTTTTTTGTGTCCATTTTATACATTTGAATATACTGGGCACACTATTCTCAGTCACATGTTCAATAGTTTAATAACTTGCATTTATAGCACTGATTTGCTACATATTTCCATCAATAAAATCTAACCTTGTAAACATCTGTTTTGCCTGTTTTGACAGGTTAGATATATCACATTCAATACTGTTCATTGTCATTAATAACCGCCTCCGTGCTGTAGCGGTTAGAGCGTCCGCCCGGAGAGCGGAAGGTTGCAGGTTCGATCCCCGACCGCGTCATACCAAAAGACGTTAAAATATGGTACTTGTTGGTCCCTGCCTGGCTCTCGGCATTAATGGGTACAACAAGGACTGGTCGGCTCGGAGTCAGTATAATATGTCTGAGTGAGGTATTCATGCTTCACAGCGGCATGGTATCTCAGTGTGCTAGCACTATAAAACCAGCTTCAGTCTGGGCTAGTACAAGCAGCCAACATACACTGACTGACTGAGTTTTAGTTTTACGCCGCTTTTAGCAATATTCCAGCAATATCACGGCAGGGGACACCGGAAATGGGCTTAACACATTGTGCCCATGTGGGGAATCGAACCCGGGTCTTCGGCGTGACGAGCCAACGCTTTAACCACTAGGCAACCCCACCGCCCTAGCCCACATACACACGCATGCACGTCGTCATATGAGCGAAATATTCTCAAGCACGACGATAAACCCAATTTCACCTCACCTCATTGTCATTAATACCATTACAGAATGAACATTGAAATGACAGTTCGAACGAAATATGTCAAACACCACATTGTCACAAAGGGGAAAATATGTGGCTATCAGCTTCTGCAATAGCTGGAACATGAATTTTGAGAGAAGATTCACACTCTTGCATCATCTCTCAACTTCGTGATGTGATGAGCACAATGTTTCAGAGTATATTCTTACTCCTTCATAAGGCTTATGAAAAGTCGAGCGGAGGGGTAGCCTAATGGTTAAAGCGTCCGCTTATCACACTGAAGACACGGGTTCAATTCCCCACATGGGCACGATTTCTGGTGTCCCCCGCCATGACATTGCTGGAACAGCGGGTTCAATAAGTGTTACGGGCGGAACTCTTACCAGATTTTGTTGTCATGTACTTGAGTATTTTACGTTCAACTCAAGTCCACAAGTACTTTCAAAACTCGACCTTCCTAAGCACTCGCACAATCTCTAGCAGGCGAGAGTCCTATCTAACAAAATGACAGTGCGATTTGCAAATGTCATAAGCTTTGATTGATAAGGTCTCATTTTCTGTGTACGAAGGAACGTCACTTGAAACATGAACTGTCGCCATTCATTCTCGCTTTAACTTACGAAATAATCAAATGAATGTGCTTAATTAATGTCAAGCACTTCACAGTTGGTGGAATCTCGTAGACAAGTGAAGACATGAGCTACAAAACCGGTTACGGTAGTCTTCTCACTTATCTCAACCTTGTCGTATCCAGATCTATCCCCCTACCAAGCGTTGTAACCTGTACGGTTTAATACAAAAGACGGCTTCGGCAACACAGTCGACTGGTTTGCATACATAGAGCGTTTGCGCTTCTCACTGCACTTGGTTTGCGGACCGAAAGACAAGATACCAGTCTAAGCAGCCCATAGAAAAGCTGGATCAAGTGATTCTAAAACGGAATACGAGCAGTGTATCCTCTTTATTTATTGATGGTCTAAATTAAATCGTAGTTACGAATGTTAACATCAGATCTCTTCAGAATTAAAAAGCTAAAATGTTACATAACGCATGACCTTTATTCCTTTTTTTGACTTTATTTCCTTTTATAGTACATGATGTGTGGCACTATAAAATGTTACCATTGACATCAAATCATTTCTTTCGAATTATATTCAAACATAATAGGGGCTTCTCAAGGTATGAAACTCTCCAAAATTTCGGCCAGACCACAGGGCTGGTTAGATGTAAAACTTGCCAGCTCTGACCAAAACTTACCTGCCCGCAAAAATTTAGGTTTGACAAGCGACGTAGTTTATCATCCAATTGGAATTCATCATTTATTTTAAGTGTGAATTAATAATGATTTAAATAATTTTCCAGAAATATGATGAACTTGATATCTTCATATACATGTCTAAATTTTAACCCAACCGTCGGGCAGGTCAATTTGAGAATCTGGCAGTCCGTGTTGAAAATAACCGGTCCCGGGCGGTCGGGCAGGCAGGTATTTCGAACGTTGGGCTTCTTGTTAATCGGTACTAAATTTATACTATATAAGCTGCAACAACCTGTTATTGTGCAGTGTATTTTCCTTTCCTTGCAGTATTTCCATTCTAGAATTTATTCGGAATAACTCTCATCACATATCGAAGAAAATTATTATTATGATTTTAAGAGAGCCCGGGGAAACAACAGAACGTACAAGATTTTAGCGATTTTACGTGCGCATCTGGTGTAACCGGCGCATAAACATCTCTCTCTCTCTCTCTCTCTCTCTCTCTCTCTCTCTCTCTCTCTCTCTCTCTCTCTCTCTCTCTCTCTCTCTCTCTCTCTCTCTCTCTCTCTCTCTCTCTGCTCACAGAATTACTGCCTCAGATATGCGTCTGGCTAATGATTCTGTTGGCGCTGGGAAATCACTGGGGTATCTCGCAGCCATTATTAATGAAGGTTAATCAAGAGTCGAGGGGGAGCTGTCATGTAAACAGGTCGTCGGGTTTTAATCAACGGTCGATTTGATCCAGTGTCTGGCGGCTATGCGAGTGAATGAGTTTAGTTTTACGCCGCACTCAGCAATATTCCAGTTAAATGGCGGCGGGCTGTAAATTATCGAGTCTGGACCAGACAATCCAGTGATCAACAGCATGAGCATCGATCTAAGCAATTGGGATACGACTTGTGTCAACAATGTTACGCTGGAACTGAATCATTTTACACTGGATGTGAAATCTGCAAATGTAATTTGTGCAGTTTCTAAAACAACTACAGAGAGAACCAATTTTTTTTATACTTATCTGCAACTACAACCTGAATAGGAAAATCTAAAAATGACGCTAACCAATTTTTTGGATGATTGGTCGTTGGTATTGAACCATTCATCAATTGTGAGATTTCAACCAATTCCCAACACTAGTGTCAAGCATGTCAGCGAGTCTGACCACCCGATCCCGTTAGTCTCCTCTTACGACAAGCATGGGCTACTGAAGATCAGTTCTATCCCGGATCTTCACGGGTAGGTGCATGTCTATGCAACAGAATTAGGTCGGTTTCACTGCACAGCAAAGTACTCTATGAGTGAGTGAATGAGTGATTTGACTTTTACAACGCTTCTAGCAATATCTGGAACACCAGAATGGGCTTCACACATTGTAACCATGTGGAATCGATCCCGGCCTTCGGCGTGACGAGCAAACGCTTTAACCACGAAGCTACCCCACTGCCCCAACTAATCTTTGGCAACAAGTTTCAATTATGGGGAAATTTCTGAATAAATCTCAATAAAAAAAAAATTACCTTTTTGTCTAATAAATAACTCAAACGGCTTCTCAGCAGAAAGGAACCAACCCTTCATTTGTCATCAACAGAAGCGTGACTACATTTACTGCATGGCTGGCGGCTGAGACTGTCAATTAAAGTACTTCACGTTTTGCATACTCTCAAATGAGTGGGTTAGTGAGTGAGTTGGGTTTTGCGCCGCTTTAAGCAATATTCCAGCAATATCACGGCGGGGGACACCAGAAATGGGCTTCACACAATATGCCCATAACCCGGGTCTTCGGCGTGACGAGCGAACGCTTTAACCGCTAGGCTACCGGACCGCCCCGTACCCTTAAATGACGCCTTGGGGCGGTTACATATTTTGGTGAAAAACGTTACTTATTTGCCGTATCTTCATACCTGCCGACTCGCACGCATTGAGGGACAATATTTATGCTATTTCTTCAGGTCAGGTCAGGTGCAGCTGCATCAAAGTAATGCATAAATGAATTGCATTTAAATATAGAACAAGCCTTTATGGATAACAACTTCTTTTTATTCGTGAGTGCGACGTTTCGATACAGATTCTTGTACCGTTGTCAAGCATAATGGAACATGAAGAAGGGGAAGTATATATATACTGGATGTAACAATGTAACAAAGAAAAACAACATAATTAACATAATTGGCTAGGCAAAAGCTGATAAAGCCAGAGAGTAGACAAAGGACAGGCGTGGAAGCCAATGATGTACAAATAATAATGAGATGGTTATACAATAGAGTTTATGGAAGAAAACCCGCCACCGTAAAGAACAACAACCCAAAATGTGTCATCTACAAAATAAACTGTGATTGTGGGCAGAGCTACATAGGCGAAACTTCCCGACCCATCAACACCCGAGTCAAAGAACATCAGACCTCTGTTACCAATTCCGACAGCAAATCAGCCATTTCCGACCACATCAAAGCAAGCCGCAATCATCAAATAGAGTGGTCTGACATCACCATTCTCTCTAACAAACAAATTGACTTCACTAAACGCAAGCTCACCGAAGCCATCCACATCAAACGCCAAAGCCCACTATCAACCGAGACCAAGGATACTTCATTCCATCCGCTTATGATGCACTCATCCACCAAGCCCAATCTACTGTATAAACTCTATTGTATAACCATCTCATTATTATTGACAACGGTACAAGAATCTGTATCGAAACGTCGCACTCACGAATAAAAAGAAGTTGTTATCCATAAAGTTTGTTCTATATTGTACTTCCCAACTTCTAAAATGCCACTCAAAGAAGTTAATTGCATTTAAAACCGGCTTGTTCCTGCAGTTCATGTCTTCTCCTGTATATTTTTTCAAATGCGAGAAGCAATATGTATTTCTACAATATGATATGTATGAACTCGGTTTTGTGTGGTCACTCAAATAGTGAGTGAGTGAGAGAGTAGTTTTACGCCGCTTTTAGCAATATTCCAGTAATATCACGGCGGGGGACACCAGAAATGGGCTTTACACATTGTACCCATGGGGAATCGAACCCTGGTCTTCGGCGTGAGGAACTAAAGCTTTAACCACTGGACTACTACACTGCCCCTCACTTAAATAGAACAAGAGATGGTTGAAATAGTTATGTCTATTATGTGTGTGCATGCCAGTGTGTGTGTACTCAAACAGTTTAACATCATATTGGACGAGTATTAAAACGCTTTACAATGGACATGACCAATGAATCTCGCATTTCAATGTGAAAATACGGCCACGGTATTTCTGAGTAGGTTAATGCGATCGTTCTTCACTCCAATTCCCAACATGGGTACAATGTAAGTAGTCGCCGGAAGATAATTAGCGGCGTAAACATATGCTCTCTAAATGTAACTACACTAAAATAACAAGTGAATGAAGCAGATGGCGCTTCGTTGTTAGCGCTATGAGTCATTGTTAGTTCAAGCGCACCTACATGTATTAATGCCACATTTAGAGGATAATCACAAATCACATGGACAGTTAATTTAACATGTTTTGTTTTTGTTTTGGGGTTTTGGGGTTTTTTTCATGAAACAATAAAGTCTTCCATCATAACATTCGTTACATAATGACACATACAAATACATGAATATATTCATCCAACATATCAGGCTGTGACACACTTAAACCTCCGATATATAATGGTGTATAGGGTGTTGTTTGTAGTGCCACATCCAACATATCATGTTTTATCAACGTGCGCAGCATGTTGTATTCAGTGTTGTATATGGCCTCATATCAGACATAGCATGTTGTATATGGGTCACAACCAACATATGTTGTATATTGCGCAACTTCCAAAATAAGTTGTATATAATGTCATATCTGATATATCATAAGTATATAGTATTACATCCCATATGTCATGTTGTAAATAGCATCATATATGAACATATCATATTGTTTATAGCACCACATCTGACATATCAAGCTGTATATTGTGTCACATCCAACATATCATGTTGTATATTACATACACATTCAACATATTTTGTTGTATACGGTGCCACATCTGACATACCATGTTGTATATAGCGCCACATCTGACATATCATACTGTATATAGTGCAACATCCGACATAGCATATTGTATATAGTGTCACGGCCAATCTATCGTGTTGTACATAGTGTATTATCTGATATACATTGTAAATATGTCTTATCTAACATGTGTTGTATATAGTGCCACAATTATTCTGACATGTCATGCTGTGTCTTGTGTCACATCCAATGTGTTGTGTTATATATTGCGCAACATCCGGCTTATTGTGTTGTATATTGTGTCTTATATCCAACCTATAATATGTGTTCCCAAAGTTACACCAGTGCCATTAACTAACTAGTCAATATATAACTAAAACAAAGATAATTTTTCAAAAGGGGAAACAGATCAAGATTTTACAAAAGAAGCGGTTGCTGCATACACAGGTCAGGTTTGAATACTGGGAATAATGGATGCCATTTATTAGCAAATTTCTTCATTTTATTCTTCCTTTTGGCAATGAAGCTTT